CATTGCCACACGATTGCTAGACGAACGTCCTTCTGAGCTCGTGTCTTTCTTCTCGGATGGGCAGTCACGAGCAAAATCTTTGCAGTTGTGACATTGTAGCTTCTTTCGGTCCTTTTTCCAGCCTGCTTTCTTCTTATCTTTGAAAACTTCTCGGTCTTTCTGATCTTTCTGACCAGATAACGCTACACCATGATTTCCGGATGACGTCACGTTAACGTCACGTTCGACATCTAACAATTTTGCTTGTAATTGTTCCACCGTAATGTCCTTCGTAGGACAAATCCGCCATACTTGCTTGAAGTTATCAAATTTTTGCGGTAGACCACGAACAATTTTTGTAATAATCATTTCCTTTTCGATGTTTAATTTTTGCGCCTTGAGCTTATTTTCAATGAGCATAAGCCCTGAAATATACGACGTCACAGTCATATCGTTTTTCCAGTGATAGTCGTTGTATGCTTCCAATGCAGCTAGCTTCGTCGTGTTTGAAACCTCATCATAATGTCCCACGAGAGTCTTCCACATATCAGCGGATGATTTACAGGCGACCACCAAATTAAAATGTGCATCATCGAGAGATTTACTTAACAAAGACCTCGCCAAGGCGTCCTTCTTTTTCCAATCAGCCAGTGTGGCATCTGTTGGTTGCTCTCTCGATCCATCAGCCACATCAAACACATCGTTTGCTTCGAGATGAGCCTGAATTTCAAAACGCCAACGAACGTAACTGCTTGAGTTCAGTTGCGTAACAGACTTCAAGTTTATTTCCATCCTTGCAGATTCAAGCGATGTTACTTGGACCTCTGTCTTCCTTGCACACACTATCACTCTCCTTTTTTCTATTTATTATTATAGCCGTTCACACTCCTGGGCTCATAACCTATTGGGATTTTTATTGCTGAATAACAAAACAAAATACAGAGCTTGGTTTTCGGCGCGTGCGAACAATAATAAAGAAACAAAAGGTAAGGTTAGTACGAGAAGGGTGCTCACGCCATCTGTCTGGTAACAGATATAATAAAAACAAGAACACGTGATATATATATAGTGGGACTAACGGCATACAATCAACAATATGTCGGTCATCGAAGCAGCCTCCCCTATTCGGCATATTTACCCTTTACTTTTGTAATAACATACATACTCTGTTAAAAGTGAGATAAAATTCTCATAACTATCGCGATATTTCATTAAGATATAGAAAGTTAATTGAATCTATACATGGCTGAGAAGGGATAAGACTCAGTTCCACAATTCACAATTAACTCTTAACCGAGGCTCAACTTGTTTTTTATCTCTTTCCAATTCTGGAATTGGAAAGAGACAATGAATAAGTTGAACCTCGGTTAAGAGTTAACCGTGAATTGTGAAACTGAGCCTAAGTAAAACTCGAAACTGTAAAAATGTAATAATAAAATATGTTTTTATTTATCGATCATCCTAACATTGCTCGTTTAATATAATAGACTTTATATTTTAATTCGTTAAAAAATAATAGTTTTACAAAAAAAAGTATGAATTTTGTTAATGTAATAAAAATATCTTTAATGTAACAAAAATTTTGGACAGTACCTACTTTATTTACTTTTACTTCCAAAAATCATGTACACATTGAAAAAAAAATAGCTCTTACTTGAAGACAGCGTATCAAAGAACAATAACTTTGATTATGTGCGTGCGACTATGATTGCAAGATATTTTTTTGTGGCATATGCTAATGTATCAAATTTCATCAGTTTATTATTAACGAAAATATATTTAGTAACGAAAGTAAACGTGCATGAAAAAGTATTTTATGCATGAGAAAGTCACTCTTCTCCACCACAATATCTCTAAAACAATTGAGATTGAGGATTTTTCCCGAAGCATGGATACTTTACTGATAAAGGCGAAATCAAAATCAGAGTTTCATCTCGAAATCAGAGTGACACTTGAGGAAGTTCTTTTATTAGTTAATATTCGTTTTTCCGATATTATAAAAGTAAATCTGGAATATACGAGTATATATTTATTAAATGATCAATCGGATTAATGGATTTTTGTTGCTAATAAGATTTGAAAATATAATATGAAATAATAAATATGAAACAAGGACATTCAAGCGACTATGTTCAGGTTCCTATCCAAATGCTACCCAGATATCACTCCATCTTTATTATTTATTAAACATTAAACATGAACAACATGACACCCAAGGAGCATTCGAGTGTGAATCCCAACACGCCCCAGGCTGCATTCAAAAACTACCCGAGTGTCTACGAATATCATTTTATCCTTGTTGTTAAACAAGGATAAAATGATATTCAAAGGTACTTGGATAGCATTTTCGAACATGATCCCAAAATCCCCTAATTATTGACACAACGCTCGTGTGCAGGTAGAGCACACTAAACTGAGTCAAAGGACAGTATTCATAGTTTTTATTTTAAGACTGTCTTAAATAATATCTTAAGATGCTAATGCAACGCTCTTGGTTTATGACATCTTAAGACTGTACTTAAGACAGTCTCAAATACAAAAATTGACTATGAATCCGACCAAAAAGTCTTGCATCATTTTGCGACTTTCAACAACAATGAACAAAAAATTAATTACTAAAAATCACCAAATAAGCCCGACCTATCACCAAATTTAAGCGCGCGATGAGAAACAGCTGCCCAGTAGTCATGGTTGCGCGAGGAATTGTTTATTATCAACGGTAACGACTAGAACAGTGCTGAATCCTTGTTCTCAACTATAATTATTCCTCGTTTTTTTTATCAAAACAAAATCTTCCGATAAAACAAGAAAAATGTAATAGCAAGTAGCTGTACAAAAGTATTCCTAATCTAATGCAATTCTAATCTAATGCAATTTTTATTAGATTAAATATATTTTGATTAACTTATCCTATCAAAAAATAAAAACATTACAATATAATAATTTTTATATGCTAAAATTTCTAATTCAAAATATTCATTAAATTATTTTTGATATATATAAATTGTCTGCACAAGTAAAATATATTTAAACAAAAGTATTTAACAAATTATTATGGGTATTTAATTAAATTTATATTAATATTCATGTAATGCTTAAAATGTATCATGGTATTCAATAGATAAGTCGTAAAATTTCTTAATATGAAATTAAAGTTTTTAATTTTTATTAACCTTTAGAGGGTGGGAATCTATTTTTTTAATTTTACAAATTTTACAATTTTATAAATATTTCTTGATTAAGATTTTTATAATTCATTATATAATATTTTTCATTGTATTCCTTATATCAAAATATGACACCGTTTTAGCATCATTAGCGGCTTTTCCATCCTGTACAGGTTAACAAATGAGCAATTCTTTCATAGAGCTGTTCCTACAGCTACAGTTTTGCTATAACTATTGAAAAAAAATCAATCTAGGAATAAACGAACTTAAAATAAACATACTTGTACGGAATTAACATCGCCACAGTCAGTATATGAATTATAGCTGGCTGACCAATCACCTATTCCCTGTTCGTTCTCTGCTGAAAAAAACGAAAAAGATATTCAATAAATAAAATATTATATCATAAAAATGAAAATTCAATATGTAGCTTAGAAAAATTAGATTTTTTGGAGGCAAAATTGCTATAAAAAAATTTGATTGCGAGAATTTGTTCGAAATGACATAATATACAGCATACTAAAAGTCTTGACCATTATCTGACTTGAGAAACGTTTCAGCTTTAAAAAATTGCGATTTTTTAAATATATCTGCAAAAATATTCATTTTATCAAAATAAAAATCATTATCAAAAAAAAAATCTGGCAAAATTACACACAATTTCATTTTCTTTTAAGGTCGTACGTCAATACTTTCCGTGATAGAATTAAAAAAAAATTTTTTTTTAAGAATATTTTTGATAATTTCGAGAACGAAATAATTTTACACGCTTTTTTCGTAGATATCTCGAATTTGACTACTTTTACGTACAAAATATCTCTTACGAAAACTGAAGGCTTTATTGAATTCACTACAAAATTGTTTTTTATTCACATACGACCATACAATAGTTTCCAAAATACGGTTTAAAAAAATGTTTTCTGTTATTTTTTAACAAAATTTATTTTTTATATAAATATCTCGGCTACACTTACGTAAAAAGTACTAATAATTAAATCGAAAGATTTTTCAATTGCCTATAAAATTTTGCTTATGACGTAAAAAAATGTGCAAAAGTAGTCTTAAAGTTTATTAGCTTAAAAAATTTTCTTTTAACCTCAACTAAGAGACTTTCGACCCTACATAATTCGCAAATCGCAAAACGTAGTACGCAAAACGTAGTACTGCTGAAGCAGAATGACGATCATCGCAAGACACACAGATGAAAATCAACTGCATGCAACGAAAAAACAAAGGCAAATCTTCATTCCGCGTATGCGTTTGCGAACTACGTTTTGCGATTTGAAAGTTATGTAGAATCGCCTTAATAATTTTCAAGATATGATGTTTCAAAGATACTGGGATCCTCAATTTATATGTTAAAATACGAGTTTATTTATCAAGTATCGAAATAAAATGATTTTCGAAATTCGAGTTTATTTATCAAGTATCGAAGTAAAATAATTTTCGAAATTCAAAATGGCGGGTCCAAGATGGCGGATCGAAAAGCAAAGTTATTTGATCGAGACGAAACTGAGTATAGGGAGTTATCAGGATCGCTGATTACAAATCTGATCTCAGATTTTCAAAATTCAAAATAGCGGATCCAAGATGGCAAACAAAAAATTAAAAGATTTAGACTTCAGATTCATAATGAGCGACCCAGATAAATTTACTTGACCCCATTTTACAGCTCCAGAATTAATTTTTTAATTTTTTGTCCGCCATCTTGGATCCGCTATTTTGAATTTTCTTGGAAAAACCCGAAAACCCCCGAATACCCAATTTCGTCGATCAAGTAACTTTTTGCTTCTCGGTCCATCTTGGATCCGCCATTTTTAATTTCAAAAATCTGAGATCGGATTCGTAATCAGCGACCCCGAAAATCCTCGAGTAACGAATTCCAACTGAATTCTAAAGAAAAATGTATGCTTCAAAGGATCTGCCATTCTTAATTTTTTAATTTTAACTTCAAATTCATAATCAGCGACCTAAAAACTTCTCGGACTTCATTTTCGGCTAATTAGCTACTGTTGATTAATCACAATCACATTTATTGTTAAAAAGGGATAAATTTTTCTAGTTTATTTATGTATAAAATATATTTACAATTACGTCAACAAATGTTTCCATGGTTTTTTTCATAGTAACTGTTCTACAAAACTGGTAATGTTTTTTCTTCATTGTAGTAATATTAATAACTGTGTAGTAATATTAATAACTTCATTGTAGTAATATTAGAAACTGTGTGAAAACATAAAAAGTTGAGATTAAAAAAGGGCAACATATGTGTGATACCGTTGCAAAATTAAACGGAAAGTTTTGAGTCGCTCGGTCTGACAACAATAAAGGCAAGGGGAACAACCTAGACTGTAATGGAGAAATGTCTCCAACAAGCTCCAAAGGAGAAGCCTTCCTGAAAAATAGGAAGTCTCAGAATCTTCTGCGTGCCTGAGACCAGATTTAACTCCTCAACTCGGGATAGCTGTTCGAACTTTGAACAGAGGGATGCCCCGTTTATGGTGAAGTACTTATTCAGAACGTGAGCAGACTACGTCGATGAACTGAGAGGAATATCTATCGGGACAGAGGGAGTGGGTAGTCTTGAAACTTAAAGGCGCAATGCCCCCTCCCCCCATTCCCCTTAGTTCCAGGAACGTCGGACACATAGAAACAAGATCTGAAATCCTTTAAAAAGAAGACATGGAAGAAAATTAGGAAAGAGGAGGTGAAAGACAGCGAGCAAGATTCCTCTATTGCCTCCAACGTGACGCGATCCTCCCAGAAGAAGGTAAGGTTGCACTCCATTCCCATCTCCTTAGATGAGAAAGCGGAAGAATGCAAGTAAAGGACTTATGAGCCAAACAAGAACGGGATGCTTTATCCAATGTGAATGTGAAGGTACTCGATGGAAGGATAACAGAGAGTGTATGACCTAAGGGTCGTCCCACGTCGGGAAATTCACAAGGAGGCCTTAGTACGGAAAACCAAGGAGAAAGCAGCTCGTAAAATTAAAGAGAGCAGCATTTTTATGATTGATCTCACCAAAAAGCCCTCCTCAAAGAAGAATGAGAGGAGGCTGGACGAGGCATTGGACTTAGCGATACGTTGGCAGCCTTCGGAAGTGATTGTGACAGTAGATATCAAAGCGATAGATATGATCACCGAAGCCGTCGAATGGTCGGGCAACATAAAGGGCGAACTCACCCATAAAATCTGGGAGGCAGTTATAACATTAATAGCCACGAACAGTATCCTTGATAAAAGGGCTCTGAACAAAGACAAAACAGGAAAGCTGAATAAACACCAGGAGATGGAAAGCAGATGAAGACTACGGACGGAGATGTCCAAATTGAAGGAGGAAAAAAAGTCCTTCAATCTAAACTTAACGAGGATGTAACGATGCACCCCACATATGCATCATTCCTGACATAACAATCCGCCGGATATCGCTGCAATGACCTAGGATCACTCGCAAGCAATGAGGGCGCAGTGCGCCCGAGATTATTTTCAACAAATTCAAACATAATTCACAGGTGACAGCGGCTCCACCAGAACCTCCGAACGCAGCCAAATACTGCCAACCGACTTCTTCTCGCTAGAGATGTCGGGAAATCGGGATGATCGGCGGGAAAAAAAACCGAGACACCGCGAAGCGACCCAAGTTCGTTAAATAAAATAGAAAAATGTATTAATAAAAGTTCATTTCTTCCCAATTCGAAGTCTTAAAAGTCGACAGAAGCAAAACCAAGCGGTACTATGCAATTTTCGAGTGTTCTCGAAGCGACCGACCGGTTTTCCTATTCGCGTCTGTTCGACGGAGAGCTCTGCTCCGCCAAGCGTTCTCGGCCACCGACCAGTGCCGTTCGCTGCACCGCTGCCTCGACGAGGAAATTCCTGGAGTAAAGCATATTTCGCCCCGTCGAGTGTTCTCGACCGTTGATTGCAGTTATTATTGCAACTTACATCGACTTAGACAATAATCAAGGGGTTCTCAGCCTTTGCCAAAAGTTCTCGATCGCCGAACGCCGTCTCTAAGATTTCGCGTTATTTTTTACGCATCGAGGATAAACACATTTTGTACCGCTCACGTCACGTGCCACTGGCGTATATCCATGTTTCCGCGAAGTAATCAGTTGTGCTATACATAGAGACGCGCTCCGCGCCGCCCGCGCCCAGCGTCGCGACACGCTGAAACATCGCGCGCTAGATTGCGTGCCGTTTCTCCGCGTACACAAACTACGAGATAACACAGCGACACACACGTCCACCCGCCCGACCACACGCACGCACGCACGCACACACATCTATTGTAACTATATATACACTTCAAATAAATCAGACTTTATTTTATTTTATAATTTTGCGTTGATTTGTAATTGCATCATCTCTCTCTCCAAGCCTAAACTTTTTTTACGTCCAAGCTTCACATGCATGGAGCTGAGGGGATGAACGCAGCAAGAACCGAATTATTAGGTGTATAACTTTGCTTCCGCCGTTTTCTTATGGATGACTTTAGAGGTAAGTGGCGAAATAAATAGATCATAGACGTCATACAATAAACTTGGGCATCTAATATAATCCCATAGAAACATTAGTCGATTTGTGTCTGCATCATAAAGTCATTCTCGATTGAAAGTGTCAGTTTACCAGCCAAATTCTTATCATTTACGGGCGGACTTACTTTT